GGAGGAGGAGGAGATCTTTGTTCTTGTGTTATTGTGCCAGACAGAGTAACCTCTATCAGAGCAACTCAGACTCCAGGACTGATCATTACATCCAAACAAACATTTAGCAAGGCATCCTCTCCTTCTGATTCCTCTGTAACTCACTGATACATAAACCTTTCCTCTCCACTCGACCTCCCAGTAACAGCGACCAGTCAGACCAGTCCTACACAGCAGCTGACGCCAGTATTCAAATCTGTCTGGATGATCAGGATATGACTGAAGCTTCTCCACATGTGTCACCTTCCTGTTGTTGTCAGACAGTAAGAGGTATCTGCTCACTGTGTTTGTGTCCAGTTCCAGCTCACAGGCGTCTGATGGAGAGAACAACAACACAGCTGCAGGTTATCATCTGTTCATTCATCAACAACTTTACTGACACTTACTGAGAGTAGGCCTGGGCGAAAAAAGAAAAAAATGTCATATCAGTCGATATCGATAATTATCACGATAATTGTCAATAATTCTTTCTTTCAAATTTAAAAGCTGATTTTTGTTCCTGAGTGAAAGTTGAAGAAACCAGATGGTTAATGATGGTTTAATTATACTTTATTATCAGAACATGAAGAATTATAATGAAACAGAAACATTTCAGCATCATAAGCTCAGAGCACGGAGCTGAAACACTGATATGACAGTTTGTTGCTGTGGAGTCACACTCACTGGCCTGCTGGGGTCCACACCATGCATAGACAGTTTATATTATCTACAATACGCTCCACACTAACACTCGTTTATGACATTTGGACATTTATTTCCTTCTGTGTGTTTTAATGGATCATATTGTTTCCAATGGGGGAACAGGTTCGTAGTGTCGTCGTTTTAGCTGCACTTCTCTTCAGCACAGTTAAGAGAACTTTACTGTTTTTTGTCGGACTGTAAAGAGTCAAAATGTGTCTAAACTCCAGACGTTAAGCGTCCTTTCTTGTCGTCTTGTCGAGGATATTCTCTCCTGCTTTGAGCCGGTAGGTTCAGCGTTTTCTTCAGAGTAGCTCTCACTAATTTCAGCTGTTTCCTTTCCCCTCCTGAGGTCTGTAAGCCTGCCCGGCGCTGAGCCTGTCTACCCATATCCCTGCGACATGATTGGCTGTATGTAGTCTTTTTCTTCTTCTCTTTAATATCGGGTGGCAACTAGCGTCCAAGGCGCATTAGCGCCCCTGTTTCCCTGTGGTTGGATGGTGTAAATACAGGTTTACATCTATCGACCTTTTATCAAACATTTTTTATATTTATATTGACAAATTATATCGTGATAATTATCGTTATCGTTTCATCGCCCAGGCCTAACTGAGAGTCAATCAAACTTACAGTTCATATTCTGCACTGAATGATGTTTGACACTGAAATGTAATAATCCACTTCTAATCTAGTTCAAATGTAGTTACCATGGCAATCAGGATGAATGGAGATCCAAATCAACAAACACATGCAGTGAATAAAGTCTGACTAATCAAAGTGCAGCACAAAGAAGCTGTGAACCATCTGCTGTCTCCAACTGTTCTGTCCTCAGAGGTCACATTCAGCACAAACAGGAGCCTCATTTCCACTTTCACTGTCACACACAATGTGATGTAGTCACACCCTGAATCATCTGTGTGCTCATCAATCCTTGTGTCTATGGCTGGGGGATCAAACTGTCTCCATAGGACTTTGGGAGACGATGTCAATAACAACAATAAACTTTGTACATTTTACTGGATAAAGATGGAACAGCCTATCACACAGAGAGGAGAAGGACACGCCCACTTCACAGTGTAAACTTTAGTTTGAGCTGCAGTAAATAAAGTGGAGGTCTGATCCAAAAACAGAAATCCCAAAGTGGAGCTGAAAGTGAACTCCTGTTCTCCTCCTTGGTGTCATGATGTCACTTCTATGGACGTGAACAGCAGCACCCTCAGCACACATCCTGACAAATATTCACACTACAGATATTCATTTAGATTTATTAGGATCAATATTTAAAACATGATGTGATCATATGTTCATATGAGCCAGCCCTTCTTTAGTGTGTCGACCCGTCAGTGAACAGAAAGCATTAGAACAGTGGTTCTCAAACTGTGGTACGTGGACCACCGGTGGTACGCGGGCTCCCTGTGGTGGTACGCAAAGAAATCTCCACAATGTTTAAAAAAAAAAAAACCTGTTCAGCATAAAACGCCATTTTTATTGTTGTCGTGCTCCTATCTTATCTGTCTTGTATCTTTGGGTTGTATTTATATCAAATGTGTTTTCCCCTCTAAATTAATCTAGTTTTTGTAACAAACAACTTTAATCTGCTCAATTTTTGCTCGCGCTCAGACATGAACAACAACAGGAGTACACCTCACGTTTTGAAAAGCTCCACTCGATATTCTGTTATATTTCAGTCCTGAAACAACAGCAAGCAGCTGAATATCTGTTAATGTAGGTCTACATTAACAGATATTCAGTTAATGTAGACCTACATTAACAGATATTCAGTTAATGTAGACCTACATTAACAGATATTCAGTTAATGTAGACCTACATTAACAGATATTCAGTTAATATAGACCTACATTAACAGATATTCAGTTAATGTATCTACATTAACAGATATTCAGTTAATGTAGACCTACATTAACAGATATTCAGTTAATGTAGACCTACATTAACAGATATTCAGTTATTTATTGGAGTTCAGTACACAATCAGCAGCAAGCAGCTGAACATTTTTAAAACGGAGCCAGGAGGAGCTTCAGTTGAGATGCATGTACGGACAGTCGCTCACCCTCTCTCTCTCTCTCTCTCTCTCTCTCTCTCTCTCTCTCTCTCTCTCTGCTCTCTCTCTCTCTCCCCCGCTACCTCTCGCTCTCTCTCTCTCTCTCTCTCTCTCTCGCTCTCTCTCTCTCTCTGCCTCCGCTACCTCTCTCTCTCTCTCTCTCTCTCTCTCTGCCCCTCTCTCTCTCTCTCTCTCTCTCTCTGTCTCTCCCCCTCTCTCCCCCTCTCTCTCTCTCTCTCTCTCTCTCTGTCTCTCTCTATCTCTCTCTCTCTCTGTCTCTCTCCCCCGCTCCCTCTCTCTCTCTCTCTCTCTGTCTCTCTCTCTGTCTCTCCCTCTCTCTCTCTCTGTCTCTCTCTCTCTCTCTCTCTCTCTCTCTCTCTCTGTCTCTCTGCCCCTCTCTCTTCTCTCTCTCTCTGTCTCTCTCCTCTGTCTCTCCCTCTCTCTCTCTCTGTCTCTCTCTATCTCTCTCTCTCTCTGCTCTCTCTCTCTCTCTTCTTCTTCTCTTCTCTCTCTCTCTCTCTCTCTCTCTCTCTCTCTCTCTCTCTCTCTCTCTGTCTCTCTCTCTCTCTCTCTCTCTCTCTCTCTCTCTCTCTCTGTCTCCTCTCTCTCTCTGTCTCTCTGTCTCTCTCTCTCTCTCTTTCATTAAATGAGAACAGGTCTGAAATATACTTGGGCCCAGTTATCGTCTATTAGTGGAAACACTGGAGATTAAATATTCTCAAACAGGGTGTTGGTATAAAGTTGTCATTTTTATTGTGCTGCACTTTTTTAGATTTGGGTAAATGTCAGAGTTAGTTTAAGTGTCAGTTCTAGCGCTAGCCCTTAGTAGTCCTATAGTGTGGCTGCCAACAGTCAACAATAAATAACCTCCTGATTAAAATGTGTGTAGAAATAGGCCTACAGTGTATTTTAAGATCTACCATAATGGTGGTACTTGGAGAGCCAAATATTTTCGGAGGTGGTACGTAGTCTAAAAAGTTTGAGAACCACTGGTTTAGAAGAAGAAGAGCAGTTTGATCCATCAGACTAATCAGCTGTTTCATGATACTTTATCTGTTCTGATCAACTCTAAACACATATTTATTATTGATCTTCATGGACTCTAATGTCAGATATGTTGGAGTTGGATCACTGTGTTCACTTTGTTTTGATCTGAATTCTAAAATCTTTCAATCAGAGACAAAAACAGAAACTCATTTCTTTAACTTGAGTTCAAAAGTGACGAGTCCTGTTAACAAATACAAACATAGACATTTCATGAAGTTCAGGTGGATTTGATCCAAATGGTTTGATGAAAATAGAGCCAAATGTAATCTGTAATTGTCTTTCATTCATCATTGATGGTTGTCAACACAAACTGTTTCTGTTGTCATTGAAGGAAAGGAGTCTCGAGGGTAGAAGTCACAGAGAGTGATGATAAGAAAGGAGGAGATGAAAACTTGTGATGTGAAATATGAAGCAGTCTAAATGTTTGTGTGTCTGTCCATATCTGAAGTGTTGAAATGATTGTGATTGAAATTCAAAGTGATTATCCAGTGATAAGATAATCACCATTCATCACATCCAACAGAAATGTCTCGTTTACAGCACACACGTTTTGTGACTTTATACATTTCTGGATTATCACTTTTATTTCAGTTTATATTTTTTATTGTTTACTATTTCAACTCTCATGAGTTTCCATCACCCTCACTTTTATCATCACTTTGTGTTACTTCCAGCCCTCATCCAACATGTGCTGCTGTGTTCTGATGAAGAGAAATGAAAACACACTCACACTTCCTCGGACCAGGATCCAGTCTGTGCAGTCCACCATGGTCCAACCTGGAGGAAGAAACCAGATCAGAATCTACTTCATACATCTAGATTTAAATCCACCATTAGTTCATCATTCAGAAACAGTGAGACAGCTTCTGTATCTGTCTGTCTCTCGCTAGACTTTCACTCTGCTGCCACACTGGACACTGAAATAACCAGCGCTACTTCAGAGTTTGGAATTCTAATATTAATACTGCAGTTGCATTCATGTTGTCTGTTGTTTTTCTGTGGGAGCTTACATGTTTGATATAATGTAAATATGAACTGCTTTTGTTGTCAGTTTGTTCATCAGCAGTGTATTATATTCTATAAAACCATCGTGACAGTCGTATCCCTTACCCGTGGCAAATACAAAGCATTTCTCTAAAAACAAACTCAGATTAACTTTTTTTTGGCTTTTAGTTTTTGTTCCAGCCTATGGTTTCAAGAATGATTTATTTATAATTCTAAGATAAGGCTTTGACTTATAAAGGAAGACTTTACCTTTCATCTCGTGAAAAATAAAATGCTGGAATAACGTGTTTTAACGAGGCTTTTTATGAAGGATGTGAATTTAAAAAGTTAGACTATAAAGCTGTCAGACAGTTTTAATGTTGTAAAAATATAATATTATTCTCTGAGGGGTATATGAAGTATAAAGAACAACTGAAGAAGAACTGGATGCCTTAAATTTGTACTGAAGTACTAGCTTATGTGCTTACATTCTAACACTGCTTACCTGGCTCATTCATCAAGTCTTTTAGATTAGCAAGGGTCATGTTGAGGACAGGTTGGATAGAGGAAATGTTCATATCTTCCTTTTGGAAAGTGAGGTTCATGCGGTTCACCACAGCCAAGACATCGTTGGCAAGTGGGTCAATGCAGGGAACGTGTACGTCAGGATGCATTTTCTTAAACCTTTCTCTACTGGGCAGTTTTTTGTAGCTTCCTCCTCCTCCAACTCCAGCACCTTAACTGCCCTCTCCAGGGACAACCTGCAAATTGCTGATGGTTGCTTTAGGCTCAGCAGATAATTTTCCTCCATTTCATTTTGGAGTTTGTATAGTCTGTGTGTTTGGATGGGAGAATTCTTGTAGTAGGTGTAGATGTTATTGATAGTGGTCACATACCGTAAAATCCGGTGTATAAGACGCACTTTTAATACCTATTTTTTCGTCTTAAAAGTTGGCTGCGTCTTATACACCAGTATAAAATACTGAAACACGCGCCGTCATTACCGCAGGTGCAGCTGCCACTACTGCGACCTGGTGCGATCAAAAACCCTTCCCCATTCATTGTGTATTGAAAGCTGGTTGCACGCTGTGCTGGAAAAGACGGCGACACAGACCAGTGTGGCTGCGTGACTTTTTTTCACATCTTTTCTTCCTCACAAAGTCATAATCATGCATTTACAGAAACAGTGGTATGTTGTTCCAGTAAACAGACCTTGTGGAGTTCTCTTTTGATTGAAAGACTCCTATATGTGCTTTGAAGTGCTTTGAGCGACTGGTCCTAGCACACCTGAAAAACTGCCTCCCACCCACACTGGACCCATTCCAGTTTGCCTACCGCAGCAATAGGAGTACAGAGGATGCAGTCTCCACTGCGCTGCACTCTGTGCTCACTCATCTGGACAATAACAACACATACGCACGAATGCTGTTTGTTGATTTTAGCTCAGCATTCAACTCTGTCATCCCCTCCAAGTTGAACACTAAACTCGGAGACCTGGGCTTCAACTCCTCCCTCCGTCACTGGATAATGGACTTTCTGACCAACAGACCCCAGTATGTTAGGTCAGGACACACCTGCTCCACCACCATCACACTCAACACAGGCGTACCACAGGGCTGTGTGCTGAGCCCATTCCTCTACTCCCTCTTCACCCACGACTGCAGACCTGTACATGGATCCAACACCATCATCAAGTTTGCGCACGATACAGCGGTGATTGGCCTCATCAGCAACAACGATGACACGGCCTACAGGGAGGAGGTACAGCATCTGGCCGCCTGGTGTGCTGACAACAACCTGCTCCTCAACACCAGCAAGACGAAGGAGATCATCGTGGACTTCAGGAGAGAAAGAGGAAGCACGCACAACCCCATTCACATCAACGGGATGGCTGTTGAACGTGTCTCCAGCTTCAAGTTCCTGGGGACCCACATCACAGAGGACCTCTCCTGGTCCACTAACACCTCCAGTCTGGTTAAGAAGGCTCATCAACGCCTCTTTTTCCTGAGGACACTGAAGAGACACCACCTGTCTTCAACTGTACTGATGAACTTCTACCGCTGTGTGATCGAGAGCATCCTGACCAGCAGTGTCTCAGTCTGGTACGGAAACTGCTCTGTCGCAGACCGTAAGGCACTACAGCGGGTGGTAAAAACCGCCCAGCGCATCACAAGGTGTCCACTTCCTGCCATTGAGGATGTCCAAAGAACACGCTGTCTGCGGCGAGCTCATGGCATCCTTAAAGTCTCCTCCCACCCTGCCCACAGACTGTTTACCCTCCTGCCCTCCGGCAGGCGCTTCAGAAGCCTCCGGACCAGAACCAGCAGACTGAGGAACAGCTTTTTCCCCAGAGCTGTTTCTCTACTGAACTCTACCCCCCGAACTCTGAACTCCGCCTCTCTCTCTCTCTCCCTCTCTCTCTCCGCACCCTGCTGACCCCCCTTTCCCCTCCATATCACCTCACACCCCGAACTCTGAACTCTGTCTCTCTCTCTCTCCCTCTCTCTCTCCGCACCCTGCTGACCCCCCTTTCCCCTCCATATCACCTCACACCCATCATCCCCCCACCACTCCTCCTGGTCACACACACACATCTCTCATCCATCTGTATTATTGTATTATAGTATGTTCATATTCTTTAAATTCTCTGTAAACTTGTATAACATGCTCACTGCATCTTAATCTGTATATTATTAGTATAGCATGCTCACTGCATCTTAATCTGTATATTATTAGTATAGCATGCTCACTGCATCTTAATCTGTATATTATAATCCTAAGAACACACTTATTTTGTAGCATTACTTATTTATAGCATTTATTTATATTTATTGCATCCCATTAATCCAGCCATCCAGATTTACCTAATAATTCACTTTCTTTGTCTACATCTGTAAATTTTGTAATTACTGTACATAGCACAGACTCTTGCACTCAATTACTGTACATAGCACAGACTCTTGCACTTTCTGCTTATTTGCACTTCTGGTGAGATGCCAAACCTCATTTCGTTACTCTATACTTGTATATGTGTAATGACAATAAAGTTGAATCTCATCTCATCTCATCTCATCTCATCTCATATTAAAGTTAAAGAGTGACCAGTGGAGTCGGGCAGCGCGACTTGCAAGCTAGGAGTCTGTGCCTCTGCCTCACAACTTTCCCTGCAGGCTGAGAGGTCAAATACCGTACTGTAGCTTGTAGGAGCGCAAACTCCCGAAGGTGAAAAAGACGGGACTTTAAGAGCGACACAGCTGTACAGAAAATGCACGTTGTAGACATCGCTGAACACAATATAAGTCGTCACGCAGGAAAACAGTTTAAAGTTTTTATTTCTCTCAAAGAGACCTTAAAAACAGGGTGTGTCTTATATACCGGTCTGACTTATATTCTGGATTTTACGGTAAAGTACTGATTTGACGCACTGCCCTGGAGGCATGGCGGGCAGCCAGTGCAGTTCGGTGTGCACCACAGTGAATATTTACGAGGTAGGGACTGTCATTCTGACACAGTTGTTGTGCAACATGCTTTTCAATTGCAGCACTCTGGCTAACCACCCTGGAAGCCATAATGTGGCTTCGGCTGGTTTTGTGATCATTCAGAGCAGATTTCTTCATAGTTTTGCACCGTCTGGTAAATCTGTTACTCATGTTAGCTTTTCTGAAGACGTCACAGAACATTTTGTCATCTTCGCTCTGAAGCCACGGGAATTCTTGCTCCCATTGAACACGGTAATCCCTCCTTGCTCCCACATTGCTGCAACTTGCTTGTCCCGTAGCTTTAGCTGCTACCTGCTGATTATCTTCATCAGTTGTAGGTGCTTATTCTTCAACCTCCTCCACTGCATCAGTCCCTCTTTTTTCACCACATCTACCATCATCACCAGCAAAATCACTTTTTCAAAGAACTCAGTACACTGTTGTTTCAACATTTTGTGACCATCATGCAGATAGCTTAACCATGCCATGAAAACAACCATAGAGAACAAAGTCATGCAAGTGAGGTCAGCCTACAGGACAAGACAATAACTAATTAATTATGCACACTCGCCACCAACTGGACTGGGAGGTCTACTGCAGGTGCTTTACATGTGGTTAATGACAGAGTTGTGTGAGAATTAGAAAGGAGTGGTGGACACCCAGTGATTCTAATCAGTCAAAACCTTCAGATTCTTTTTCGTCATTGTTCAAAAATTCTGTCAAAGACGGAGAATATTCGGTTAACGCGACCTCTAGTCTGTCTGTACCTCAGTGTCTCCAGTCTGCAGTGTGGATCCTCCAGTCCAGCAGCCAGCAGCTTCTCTCCTCGTTCTCCTGGATGATTGTAGCTCAGGTCCAGCTCTCTCAGGTGGGAGGAGCTTAGAGCTGAGGCCAGAGACGCACAACCTTCTTCTGTGATCAGACAACCTGACAGACTACACACACACACACACACACACACACACACACACACACACACACACAGGACAACAGATCTTCATATTTAACTTTCTTTATTCCAGTCCAGCTTCCTCAGACTAAAAGACTGGGAGCTACAGAACGAGCTCAGAGCTTTACAGTTTTAATGTGGAAACATACAGTAACTAAAACTTTAAACCACTCATTAAAGGAACATTTAATAAATGATGCATCAAGAAAATGATCTTAGAGGAATAATCTGGATCAGCTGCACACTAACCTGAGAGTGTCCAGTCTACAGAGAGGACTCTTTAATCCAGAGGACAGCAGCTTCACTCCTGAATCCTGCAGGTTGTTGTTGCTCAGGTCCAGCTCTCTCAGACTAGAGGACTGGGAGCTGAGGACTGAGGACAGAGCTTCACAGCTTCTCTCTGAGAGGTTACAGACACTCAGCCTGAAGAGGATTCAGAAGAACACAAATGAAAGCAATTAAAAACAATAGTTGTTATTTCTGAATTAAGAGAACTACATTAAACCTGGATAGTTATGTGGACACATACAGAGCTTTGTCTGAAGCTTTGATCACAGGCAGCAGCCTCAGAAGAGCCTCCTCTGAAGCAGAGTATTTCTTCAGGTCAAACACGTCCAGATCTTTTTCTGATGACAGTAAGATGAAGACCAGAGCTGACCACTGAGCAGGAGACAGTTTATCTGTGGAGAGACGTCCTGATCTCAGGGACTGTTGGATCTCCTCCACTAGAGAACGATCATTCAGTTCATTCAGACAGTGGAACAGATTGATGCTTTTCTCTGCAGACAGATCCTCACTGATCTTCTTCTTGATGTACTGGACTGTTTTCTGATTGGTCTGTGAGCCACTTCCTGTGGGTGTCAACAAACCTTGTAGGTGATTCTGATTGGTCTCTAGAGAAAGACCGAGGAGAAGCGGAGAACAAGTCCAGGTGTCCATTTGGACTCTGTAAGGCCTGGTCCACAGCACTCTGATATAAAGTCTTGGGTCAGGTTTTTCTCTGATACTTCAGACCTGGATGTTGTTTGTTCTTCTGACATCAGATTGACTCCAGAGTTGATGAAGGTCAGATGGACATGAAGAGCAGCCAGAAACTCCTGAACACTCAGATGGATGAAGCAGAACACCTTGTCCTGGTACAGTCCTCTCTCCTCTTTGAAGATCTGTGTGAACACTCCTGAGTACACTGAGGCTGCTCTGATATCGATGCCACACTCTGTCAGGTCTGAGTCATAGAAGATCAGGTTTCCTTTCTGCAGCTGCTCAAAAGCCAGTTTTCCCAGAGACTCAATCATCTTCCTGCTCTCTGGACTCCAGTGTGGATCTGTCTCAGCTCCTCCATCATACTTGATGTTCTTCAGTTTGGACTGAACCACCAGGAAGTGGATGTACATCTCAGTCAGGGTCTTGGGCAGCTCTCCTCCCTCTCTGGTCTTCAGCACATCCTCCAGAACTGTAGCAGTGATCCAGCAGAAGACTGGGATGTGGCACATGATGTGGAGGCTTCTGGATGTCTTGATGTGGGAGATGATTGTGTTGGCCTGATCCTCATCTCTGAATCTCTTCCTGAAGTACTCCTCCTTCTGTGGATCAGTGAACCCTCTGACCTCTGTCACCCTGTCAACACACTCAGGAGGGATCTGATTGGCTGCTGCAGGTCGTGTGGTTATCCAGAGGTGAGCAGAGGGAAGCAGTTTCCCCCTGATGAGGTTTGTCAGCAGCACAGCCACTGAGGTGGACTCTGTGACATCAGTCAGGGTCTGGTTGTTTTTAAAGTCCAGAGGAAGTCGACACTCATCCAGACCGTCAAAGATGAACACAACCTGGAACTCTTCAAACCTGCAGATTCCTGCTTCTTTGGTTTCAGGAAAGAAGTGATGAACAAGTTCCACCAAGCTGAACTTTTTCTCTTTCAGCACATTCAGCTCTCTGAAAGTGAATGGAAATGTGAACTGTATGTCCTGGTTGGCTTTGTCTTCAGCCCAGTCCAGAGTGAACTTCTGTGTTAAGACTGTTTTCCCGATGCCAGCCACTCCCTTTGTCATCACTGTTCTGATTGGTTCATCTCTTCCAGGTGAGGCTTTAAAGATGTCTTCTTGTCTGATAATTGTTTCTGGTCTGTTTGGTTTCCTGGATGCTGTTTCAATCTGTCTGACCTCGTGTTCATCATTGACCTCTCCAGTCCCTCCCTCTGTGATGTAGAGCTCTGTGTAGATCTGGTTCAGAAGGGTTGGGTTTCCTGCTTTAGCAATCCCCTCAAACACACACTGGAACTTCTCCTTCAGGTTAGATTTCAGTTTACATTGCACTGCACCAAACGTCCTGAATAAAGAAAGAACTGAAATCATGAACAGATCCTGATATAGATCACATGACTATCTGAGTTTGGAACTTTAAACCGTTTTGTCCTTTTTCTAAAATACTAAATCTGTTAAAATGTTCTTACTGCTCTGCAGACAGTCAGCCAGCTCCTCCTGCTTCATTCTCCTCAGGAAGTGGAGAGTGATCTTCAAAAAATCTTCTCTACAGCTTCTCCCCTGCTCTTCATCCTCACTCTGACTCTCTAAGCATTCTGGGTAATCTGAACTCAGAACCCTCTGGACTCTCTTCAGCTCGTTCTTCACAAAGGTGACGATGTTCTCCTCCAGCAGCTGGAACAGAAGGAGACACTGGATATTTAATATAAACTGGTAGAACTCAACATGTGGTTCATCTGTCAGTCTGAAGGTCAGCTGGTCTAAACAGAACAATAACTTAGCATTAAATTATTGTAATGGTAGTAAATTAATAACAGTGTGTTGAACAGACCATAAAGATGGAGTCCAGGTCTGTTGGATTCTGCTGGTCTGATTGATCTCTGTGAACCTCGGAGCTCTCCTGTTGAACTCTGTGACACAAGAAAACAATGTGTCATATATTATGAAGCTCTGAACCAAGATACACATTATACACCAATCACTCTTCATGGACACACAGCTGGGTCCAGGAGAGTCTGGTCTCTGTCTCTTCATCCTGATACAAACAAACAGCTGGTTAATGAAAGCTTTTAGAACAAAGATCATTTTTAATCAGATTGTTCCAGTTCAAACTAGCAGATGGATAATCAGTGATCAGGAGGCAGAGCTGAAGTTCTCCACAGCTCTCTCTGTTTCTATTAGAACAGTATCTCACTCAGAATACAGACAACACTGTGTCTGTCCTCAGATTCTTTAGACTGATGGAATCAAAGTTAACAGAAGAAGACTCAAACATAAACACAGCTCAGAAAGATGACACCAGGAACAATAAAGGTTAGAAGTCCAACCTGCATTTTCAGAGAGAAAGAACTCAGGCTAGCTACAGACAGATGTTCATGAAGATACTACCAGTGGCCACCAGGGGGGCAGAAGGACAACCTGAGAGAGTGATCTGTAGGAACAGGAGACTGGCTGGACCTCTGAAAGAGAACCATGAACAAGCCGAGGCCAGACTGTTTATTGGGAAACAGGAGCAGGTGAGGGACAGACTGCGGACTGAAAACAGATGTTGACCAGGCTGTCGACGTGGAACGAGGCAGGATTGGTGTTTGGTTAAAGGACTTCTTCTGTGTCCCACACATGAAAATAACTTTACAAGTCATATTCTATAACTTAAAAGAATATCATGTTGTTAAGTATGTTTAGTATTAAAAAAGCTTATATTAATAAAATACAGTATATCTAACTTTGACTTAATTAGATATTCTGGTTAACATCGAGCTGGATTGAACCTGAAAGGAGCTACAACAATGGTTTATCATATCTCAGCAGAGGAACAAGATTGTTTTCTTTATTTTGAGGATAAGACCACTTAGAGAACTTCTGGATTCAAGAAAGTTCAAAAAGGACACAAGTTAAAGTTTGTTCATAGAGAGCAGGAATCCTTCCTCTGTCTCTGATGATTATAAAAGTGTTCTTGTCCTGAATACTGGACTCAGTGTAGTTAATGAAGCATGTTATGACTGTGGCTCTTATATTATGAGCTTTGTCTTTGTCGTGTGTCTCTCTCTCTCTTTGAGCTACAGGTGATTGGACGGGAGCTGATGGCACAAGTTTTAAAATGGACGTGCAGAATCAGACTGGCAGTAAATGAAATCTGATATTGTGGACGGTATATTTGTTTGTTTTGGTCATCATTGGGACTGAGGAAGGAGATGACTTTTAGTCTGCCTCAAGGAAAAACAAACATGTTGATTCAATAAAAATGTTTAAATTAAGAATGCTTGTTGTACCTTCATTTAAGACAAATTCACTATTTTTCTGTGAATTTGTTTTGACTAATTATTAATCTTAGATTAAACGTATACATTCTTAAAGTCAGCTCATTAAGAGACTAAAATACTGAATTTAAGGAAGTCTAGCTTTCAGAACTGACCTTTGATTGCTTACAATGAGAACAGCTTCCTTAGACTTAAACCCACCTCCTCCCTTCCACCTCCTCCCTGACAACATGCAAAATATAGATCATGAATTATCTTATTTATTAATTAAAAATCGAATTATGGAGGAAAAATGTAAATTTAAATTTGACAAAGTAAGTACAAGTAAAGTAGAAAACATGCTAATAACTTGTAAAAATAAAGCAGCAGGTGTTGATGGCCTTGATGGGAAACTCCTTAAAATGGTTGCTGATTTGATAGCCCCTGCAGTTTGTCACATTATTAACCAGAGTCTTAGTGAGGGTTTATGTCCACAAGGATGGAAAATTGCCAAAATAATACCTCTGCCCAAAAAATGGAAATTACCATTCTCTGGATCAAATAGTCATCAGATAAGTTTACTGCCTGTTTTAAGTAAAATAATGGAAAGAACAGTGAGTGAACAAATTAAAGGCTATTTCTC